AGTAGCTAGATCTAAACATTGCCTTTGAAGAGGAAGTAGTTTTGGAAAAAAAAGTGATGTCTTCACATGAGGACGTTGGGTTTGTTTTTAAAGTCACAGTGTGTTAGAAAGTATGAAAGTGTTTAGTTCAATGTCGGAACATCACGTAATGCGATAAATCTAAAACTCTTGTGATTTGTTCATTTTGTGACTCTGGATGAACTGTCCTCGTTACCAACACATTCTCACTCTGACTTCGTCGCATATTAATGTTTTGGTCATGGACTTTCCACATCCATATATGATGTGCAAGGTACCATGTTGGTTGTTGACATGCTTTGATTGTTGACGATCTGGGACACCCTCAACAACAAACACATGGATGGGTTTAGGCAACAAAAACACATGGTTAGGTTGACTGAGTTTGACTTTAGAATCTTACTGAATGCAAACACCGCAATCTCGGGTGAAAGTCGGTGTTAGTTGGACCCATCCACCACTCGTCCTGCCCACCCCACTTGGACTTTCGCCGCCTTAACTTTCGTCCTTGTCCCCCTGCATTTCCCCCTGATGCTGCAAGGCGCCATTTAACTACAACGGCAACTGGCCGTGTATCATGCTAATGGTAAAGGACGCCTTTTTTTCATTGGTTTCTGACGCTGCAAGTCACTGCCCAAGCCCCAGATTTCGATAACTTAGGAGTGAGACCGGGCTCTTGACTTCAAACAAGGAATGTCCTTTTGTCTGTAGAGACAGTCTGTTACACCTAATTGGTCCCAGCATGCTCAAAAAGATGATGATAAAGTCCCAATGTCCTCAAACGAGACGAGAATAAAGTCTCATTGTCCTCAGACAAGTACTTCATCATTAGCGGCATCTTAGCTTGTTACTGTTGCTAAAATTGATCAAATTTGTTGCCATATCAAACTACACACTATTAATCATACATAAACTAATTTCAAGCATAAAATGTGATCAGGTTTTGGACCTTGTCCACTTTTGTGTCAGGATCGGCTGCAGACTGACTTGGCAGAGATGGCAGCCATCTTGTTTTTACATTGATTAGTGTATTGTGCTCTCACTACCACTAGATGGCACAAAAAGTGTCCATGAATGAGGACAACAGGTCTAAGCAGAGTGAAATATAAAGTGCAGGAAACCCAAAATGTGAGGTCGTCATATGAGGACACAGGGTCTCAGGAGGATATTTATTCAGTTTAAAATGACAAGAGTATATTGCATTTCTGAGTCAACTTTACAGCAACAGACCAGAAATCGAGGAATTGATCTCTTATTGAAATCTTTTTTTTTTTTTTTTTTTTTTATAATTACTGCTAAGTATCATGCATTATGATGTTTTTATGGACTTACACGTCAGTGGAAGATCAGTCCTCTCATCACTTTATATTACTGCCACTTGGTCACTTTAAGACTTTAAGGTGTGTAACTGTTATCTGTGGTGTGTGCTGTTCCATACATCGGTGTCAAAGACAAATTTCCATTTTATGCAAATATAACAGGCAGTAAGCTGATTCTGAATTTGAATATTTTTGCACGGCATGTCCAAAGTGCGACCTAAGGGCCAATTATGGCCCGTGGCTTGTCTCTCAAAATGTACGAGGCTATATGTAGATAGATAGATAGATAGATAGATAGATAGATAGAGATGGGAAACAAGCAAACAAATGGTCACCTAGCAGCAGACATTTCCTGTAAGGTACCAGACAGCAAAGAGGTGCAAAGCCAACAGTGAGGGCCGCAGCTTTCAGAGGCTGTGGAAAGTTGAATACTTTTCACTGAAAGATAAAACAGTTGCGTTTGTCTCAACTGTATGTGAGTTTTTCAAAAATGACCTTCATGATGCAAGAAGCAGTTGGCCCCTAGGTGTTTTTTTCACATTATCTTATCTGGCCCCAGTTCATAAAAGTTCGGACAACCCTGGCCTTGACCTACATCTACTCAGTCAGAAGCACCATTGGCTTATACACAGACTAGCCCGACACATACTGGAATCTTTGAATCTAATGTCAACATTTAGCAGCTTATAATGATATATGTGCCGAGAGTAATTTAAAAAAAGAAATGAACACTTAACACAAGCAAACGATATCAACACAGATCCCTTAGATTTGTTTTGTAAATGAACTGTGACCTAGATATATTCTGAGCAGCACATTTTACAGTGCAAGAATCAACTTGTCGTTACTCTGCAGAGGACACACTAAAGGTGACACTGTCTCATAATACTCACTGGCACGCAGACACCCATGCATCTGCAATAGGCTAATATTGACTCATGTATCAGCCTGGCTGATTCATCAGTTGAGCTCTTTACAGGGTTCAACAGGGAAAATTTGTTGTTAAAGAGAGAGGATATCCAATTTTCTGCACTTTTAGTGGCCCCAGAGTTGTTCTTATTGGGCTGTAAGACTAACAGTTGTATTTGACCATAAGATCTGTCCACATCAGTTCTCTTGTAGTGGTGGGATAAGTATCCAGGGGCCGGTTGCACAAAACACCTTTAAGTCTTCTCCTTAAGGCTTTCTTAAAATGTTGACTTAAGTATTTATGGTTTTTCCTTGTCTTGGTCTTATACTGAAGGAGACCTCAGACCGTTGGACTAAAGACTTAGCAACCAAAGCAAGGTGAAAAAAAGAAGGTCTGACTCTATCTTATCTGCAACATGATCGAGTTTATGGTGATAAAAAAAAAAAAAACCTGATGGATATGCTTTTGATTTTACACTATCGAGTAGACTGAATTATATTTGTTGCTTCTTTCTACAATCATTTTCTGTTTTCTGGTATTTGGGGATCAAATTTACTTTGCAGTATGTGCTTTCTATGATTGTACTCCTCCAGTAGTATTATCTTTTCCTCCTCTGACTAATATGATTTTCTTAGCTTCTTTTCTTCTGCCATTTTTTCACTATTGAACTATATGCCAACTTTGCAAGACAGTAACAGGTGTCACAAGTGTGAGTCCAAGCAAAAAAACAATCTCACTGGAAACTTGTACCGTGGTAAAATCTCTTTCAACGTAGTAAATGAGTTAACATTTTTTCCTTAGCTAAGGAAACTTTATACTTTTTTTTCACACATTTGTAAAGCCCTCAGCTAAGGAGAAATTAAGCCTTGAGTGTCATACTTAAGGTTCCTTTACTCGGATAAAAGTACCAATACAACAACGTAAAAGATACTTCATTACAAGGAAAGACCCTGGGGTTCTTAAGCCAAAACCAACCAACCAACCAACCAACCAACCAACATCAATGTATTGTATTTGATAAGCTTATCATATGTTGTTTTTGATATAAAATCTTTTAAAAGTAACCAATAATTATGGTTATCAAATAAATGTGACCAAAAAGTACAATATCTGCTTCTAAATTAGAAGTAGAGCTAAAAGAAAATGGAGATAATCAAATAAAGTGACTTAGAATCATACTTTAGTATAGTACTTGAGTAAATTAACTTACTGTCCACCACTGTTCTCTGGAAGCTATGGACGTTCTGGAAAATGTGAGGAATCACTAACACAACCACTTTAAATTAAAGTTAACCACAGTTTGAGGAAATGTGGGCAACACAACAACAACAAAAAACCCATTAACATTTATATAAAAACTAACAAAAAATACATAAATAAATAAATAAAAGTTTGCTGCTATGAGCCGGAGGAAATATCAACACCTTTCAACATGATCTATGGCAAATACATGACTTCATCAAATGAAGATTCATTGTATAGTTTATTAGATCCATTTCATTTTTAGGCACAATCATCATATTTTATACAGTACACAAAACTAGAATTCTGATTTAACATTTACATTACACCTTTATACCTTAAAATATTCTTTGTAAACCACACAGTGTGGACATCCAACTCAAGATTCACAAAAACATTAGACAAAAAGTAGCCAAAAGTACTAAATGACACATTTTATACACTTACAGAAATGCTAAAGCAAACCTTCACAACACCCTGTAACAGCTCAACATTTGTCTTTCATAAAGTGCATATAGAGTCATAGCTGCGTCACTCTCACAATGGCTTGAAGAGATGATAACCTAGGGAGAGGTTTTGGTGATAAAACATTACAATCATGTTACATGAAATGTGTTTAGGCTCACTTACCCATCCAAAATTAAAATGGATCTAAAATCACTTTAAAGTGGGAAGACACAAACCAAAACTGTATTTGGAGTTCTATACAAAAACACCACCTGAATTTAATTACAGTTATGGGCAAGGCCATGGCTCAGACAAATTACAAGGTGTTTTAATTATTATTTAAAATTCTTTCTTAAAGCTTCACTGAGAAGAAAATAATTTAAAGAGACAGCTCACCCACAAAATAAACATTTTCCTCTTACCCGTAATGCTGTTTATCGGTCTAGATTGTTTTGGTGTAAGTTGCTCAGAGCTGGAGGTATCGGCTGTAGAGATGTCTGCCTTCTCTCCATGTCTGCCTTGTGGTGCTCAAATCGACAAAAAAAATACATTTGGAAAACTCAACAGCAATGTCTCTTTCCAGAAATCATGACTCAGTTACTCAAGATAATCCACAGACCTTGTCGTGAGCAGGTCATGTAGGAACTATTTTCTTTCTACTGAATCACCGTGCAGAAGGAAGCGTGTATTTACTCGTGGACGAGATGCTCATGCTCATGAAAGCATGAGATGTAACATTAGCTAGCTCAGGTGAGTTAGCAGTAGATGCACACTTCCTTCTGTGTGGTGATACGGTTAGTGGGTGTACCTCGGTAGAGAGAAAATAGTTCCTACATGAAACTGCTCACAACAAGGTCTGTGGATTATCTTGAGTAACCAGGTCATGATTTCTGGAAAGAGACATTGCTGTTGAGTTTTTAATGGGTAATTTTTTGGCACTTTGAGCTCCACAAGCCGAGTGCCATCTAGGTCTGTTATATTCCAGAGAAAGCAGACATCTCTACAGCCGATATCTCCAACACTCTGCAACTCACACCAAAACAATCTCGACTGATAAACAGGACAACAGGTAAGAGGAACAAATAATAGTTTTAATTTTAGGGTGAACTGTCTCTTTAATATTTGATTTTTGTTAATTATAGAGGTGACTTGCACCCTAAATGTGAAGTGATGTGACGAATGAGTTGCTTCTTTCTTGATTTCTGAAGTTGATATAATTTTTCATTTTAAAATACTGTTCAAAGCCATTTTTCGTTGGTCTTGAAGCAGAGATAAAAATGTGATCGGGAAGTTTTAATATAACAAGAAACAAAGTCAACATTGTCACTGAGGCTTTACATAATTCCATACATACAGTATATACATTACAATCACACGAGATAAATGGGTTTAAGTAAAGTGGTGTTTACCTTTGCACTGCTAAGCTTGTTGTCTCTGGATGGACTGAAAGTTACACACAGCTCTGATTACCTAATGACCCACACAGCAGCTGAGCAAGCTCCTACTCAGTCACTCACAGCAGCAAAGTGATGGCAAGCAGGCCAAGTAAGAACGCAATCAACTCTGTGTGAAGATGAGGACCTCTTGTGGCAAAATTGGGGTGATTCAGCGTACCATTCAACCACAGGCAAGAGGTCCTGGTGGCGTTGCAGCACTCTAGATGACATGGAGGTGTTGTGGAGGTCTTGCATGGGGCTTGGCCAGAACAGTTGGTGGTGCAGCCTGCTGTCCACTGCAGACCGGAGTCTACATTCTCCTTTTTCAGCTGCAAAGGCAATAGTGAGTTAGAAAAAGTGAGATATTAAAGTTTATTTTCTGTCTATTCATTGTTGGAAACACTGAACATTTTTTTAAATATATCATAAAGAGACAAGCTGAGGAAAATTGAAAGTGCGGAGTGGGGCTTTCACTCAGTATCTCATTTATATCAATAGGCTGTAAAATATTATTTTAAAGGACATTTTAAATGAGTCATATTTTCAGTGATTGACAAGCATACATAGACTTTAGATGTTGAGATAAAATCACTTTACATGATGTAAACGCAACACGGCTGGAAAGCAAAGGTTTAACCAGTTGAAGTGGCCTGCAGAGGCTTCAGCTACCAGGCTGCATAAAGAAATAGGCGTTCGAGGCCAAGCCCAGCGGCAGGCCATCAATGCCCTCTCTGGCGCAGCCAAACAGGCAATAGATTAAGAGGAAAGATGCCACTTGGGCCCCGTAATACCGCTCACAACAGCAGGGTACAAGAGAGTAAAAGCAGAGAGGGGCACACCATGTGTTGCCGATGAGACCACTGGAGGTGTCGTGGGCCTACCTATCATCGAAACACCAGTGTGGGAGGGTACCCACCTGATGACCCCAATGAAGCTTTTACCGTCCCTAAACCCTCATTAAAATGAGGGAGTAGGGGGAGGTAAAGTGTATGGCCCAGTTCAGTGGCAGAGAATTCAATCTGCTCAGACATTCCCTATGCTCCTTCTTATTTTGCTGTCTACCATTGCTCTTTCCTACTTTTCTATCCATCTACCCAATGGCTCCCACTCGGATCCCCAGAAAGCACTACTACTCCCACTCATAGTCTCAAGTATGTGCATCAGGGATTGTAACATCTAGTCCTAAACTGAACTGAACTGAACTGAAAGAGTTTTTCCTCTCATTTTCTGCTGTATTCATGTGTATCAATAGTACAACAATACATTGTACAATCTCAAACTGTTCTGTACAGTAGCAATACTTTGAGTGATTATCACTAAAGATGTGTACATTTTTTCTTATTTTTTGGGGGTTCCTGACAGCTTTATACTTTGTTAAACTGACAAATTGTTGCGTCAGTCTCATGGGGGGGATCAGTGTGTGAGTGTGTGCAAATGTTTAGGGTGAACAGGTGGCACCTTGTATGGCAACCTCAGCCATCAGTGCGTGAATGGGTGACACGTTATGTAAAAGCACTTTGTGGTCAGAAGAACAGAAATGCACTTAACACGTCTATTTACCAAGTGTGTGTGGGATAAATAAGGGCAAAAAAATACTAAACCACGACTAAATGAATTCATAGAAAGCTGGCAAAAAAAGAACCTGGACATTTTAATCAATTATTTTATATAGGAATATGGTATTTAATGTTGCTGGAGCAGTTCTTACCTGACAGTGTGGCTGTGAGGAGGAGCATGATTGGAGTGCAGCAGTTGAAAAATCTTTGTAGCAAGTTGGACCAACGCATGTACCTTTACGGCATTTATTTCTCTGAGAAAAAAAAAAAAAAAAAAAAAAAAACCCACAAAAGAAAAGATGATACTAATCTCACATCACACCTGATACAGTATATACTCAATTAAAGATATTAAAGAATTGGCAGGAAGTCATTATATCGACTGGGCATTGGTTAAAGGTCAACATTTTATACATATATACATATTTTTAGACTGTTAGCAGTTCGCAAACAGGATCATCTGTACGGGATGGATGGGGGGATGCTCTCTGGGACCAAGCTGCAAAATGGAGGACAGCAATAATCATGTACATCCTAAATGTAAGCAATGACAACCACATTTCATTTTGAACCAATATAATCATATATATCACATATGCAAGACACCTGCAGGTGGAAACTGTTTTTCTTGCATTGGTCATTTTTTATATTTTAAGCAAGACAATGTATTGTGGTATTTTTAAATCTCCACCACACCACCATATGGATAAAATCTGAGTAATTTTTTTTTAATCTTCAATGCAATCAGAACAGTAGAATCTGTATTTATCAGAGCTCCTGTAACTGATGGCTGCAAATAGCTGCACTGCTATCTAGCAGTCGGGGGTTTAAATGCTGCTCTGTTCTGTTCCTGGGAGGTCTTTGCTGCCGCTTTCCCTGCCTTAGGGCCATAACAGACTTGCCGCTTGATCGAACGTATGCGTACACAATGTGCCGTGTCTGTGTTTATACTTGCTGCAGCACTACGCAGCCAAAACACACAATACTGGCGGTCTCCACTTGGGGCAGACAACAGAAATATAACCCGGAAATCGGGCCAACAGGCATGCCTGTCATGTAACGGCAGTGGAAACATCATAGAGATAAGGGTAGTTCCGCACCAGGTCTGTCAGGCTCTCCTCAAAAGTTTCCGCCATTGCTCCGACAGCGACTCCATCTGGTCTGATCTCACAGTCACTGTGTTCATTCACACGAGCGCCTCTAGCGGTCATGTCAATATTGCATCTTGCACAAACGTCACGGTACCTCGCATTGAGATGTGCGGCTGACACATCAAACAAACGCAGATCCCGCATGGCAGCCATGATGCGGTTGCGTTCGTGTTGTTTGCAGCAAGTATATTACGGCCCTTAGGCTTTCCATGTAGGCACATGGAAGGGCAGGGAGGTTTGCTTTCGCTGCCCCAGGCTTTCCTTGTTTGCACATCGAAGAACAAAGAGGTGTGCTCTCTCCGCCACAGGCTTTCCTTGTTTGCACGTGGAAGGGCGGAGAGGTGTGCACTCTCCGCCTTAGGCTTCCCACGTAGGCGTGTGGAAAAGGCTATCTGCATAGGCCCGAGGAAAGGCAAAGAGGCCCCAGAACAGAGCCATACCGCCAAATATAATACTGCATATGGAAATAAAGTTTTCTTTGACTTAAGTGTTCCTGACTGAAATTAATTTTTTTGGTGTTGTTGACAGCATTTTCTGATTTATTGAGTGAAAAAAACATTTTACTATAATGTGTCAACACAGGTACCTGGTTTTATCCAATGTTCAGATTTTTTGCTCTGAAAGTTTGGTTTAGTTTTTAATATGCAACCATTGCGGAAAAAAATGGAAACTCCGCAAGACTGGCTACATAATGTGAGAAATTTATCGATCTAAACTATGAGAGACAGAGAGCATGCACGTGTGTTGATATGAGTAAAGCAGATTTGGGGAGGGGCCTATTCACTGGACCTTTTCAGGGGCCCAGCTATTTCTGTGGGCAGGCCTGTTCACAAATACAATTTTCAGCTGTCTGAGACAAGGTGACAAAGAGGAGACAGAATGAACTGAATTTAGTGATGCACACAACTTTCTAGCCTCCTGCTCCCACATACGCATCCATTCACATGCCAGTGCACACTCACACATGCAGCATTTTGTCCTTACATTGTCTGCTGTTGTTGGTGCACTGGTAGTAGTCGTTGTAGGAGCTGGTGTGGTAGTAGTTGTTTTCATGGTGGTTGGGATTACTGATATCATGTGAGGAAAAGAGAAAATATTAAAAAGATTGCAAATTCACAATGAAAAGTGCACACCTGTAAACATGCAGGCATGAGAAAATGTAATAATAATGAATCTGTTTACCTGTGGTTGTCATGACCATCATGGATGCAAAAGTGCTATTGAGGCAGCCAGTAGAATTGCAGCAGTTCACTGAGCAGTTGGTCTGAGAGGCGTTGACGCAACTATCAGCACAGGAGGCGCTGCAGCTGACAGTGTAGCACATGTCCGTCTGTCTAATCAGCTGATACATTGCAGAATGACATTTTAGAAGACGTTTTAAATTGCCTTTTTTTCTCAGACCATGTAGAAAAATATAACACTATACTGAATTACATGGATTATGTGGAGAGTATAACTGCAAAGTTTATACAAAAGAATAATAAGGTCTTAATTTTAGCAGTTACTTAAAGATACAACTCCATCTTCCAAATGTTAAGTTGCTGCTATGGATTACTAATGCAATTAATTTGCTGTATATTTAGCTGCATATACATACAAAGCTTGTGATGCATTTTAGGATATTTGATCATAATTTGTTGTGGGCAATACATGAAAAAGATTTGTTAGATGGTTCACGAGGTTTTGCCATTTGCCTCCCTACCTCACAATAGGCACCAGCAGCACATAAAGTGGCATTCTGACTGTCGTACATTGTATAGCAGTCCGTGTAGTTACACATGAATGAGGGGCAGTATATCTGTGTTTGAGAGAGATAAAAAGGTTCATGATGAAGATGACAGGCTAAAGGGAAACGAGCAAAAAAACAACATTAAAATTCTCTCCAATAAGTTGGACTTGCCATGCTCATTGAAATAGGGTTTACCATAGTGGTTCCATTCATACTAGGCGTGCCACCTGCGGAAAAAACATGGATGTCAGGAAAAGAAACAAACAAAAAAAGCTTATGTTTATTTTTTACAAAGGAAAATGAAGCCTTGGAAGTTAAAATTATATTATTTGGTAAAACAAAACATACCAGTTATGGTGGGCATGGGACCAGAATTGGTAGTCATGGAGGTGGATGGACTGGTCCAGCCTGTGGCTGTCATGGCGGGGCTGGACTTGGGCATGGTGGGGCTGGACTTGGGCATGGTGGGGCTGGACTTGGGCACGGTGGTCCCAGGCTGGTTCATCGTTGTTGAACCAACTTTAGGGGAGGCAGAAGTGGTCCCTGAATAACGATAATCAGTGGTTACATCATGAGTGGTCATAGAAGTTGAAGATGCAGAATTGGCAGTGGTTGTTGTGCTGGTGCCGGATTGTGTGGTGACTGCTGACCCCCCGGAGGTGATCGTGGTTGTAGGAGAATGGTTGGTGGTGATTGCTGTGCCTCCAGAGGTGGTAGTGGTGGAGGGTGACTGGGTGACAGTGGTGGTTGCTATGCCTCCAGAGGTTGTTATGGTTGTGGGAGACTGGATGGTGGTGGTGGTGATTGCTGTGCCTCCAGAGTTGCTCGGGGCTGAGGATGACTGGGTAATAGTGGTGGTTGCTGTGCCTCCGGAGGTGGTAGTGGTGGAAGGTGACTGACTTATTGTAGTGGTTGCTGTGCTGTGGGTTGATGTAATTGTGGGAGACTGTATGGTGGTGGTTGCTGTGCCATCGGAGGTGGTAGTGATGGAGGGTGACTGGGTCATAGTGGTGGTTGCTATGCCTCCAGAGGTTGCTGTGGTTGTGGGAGACTGTATGGTGGTGGTTGCTGTGCCGTCAGAAGTGCTTGGGGCTGAGGATGACTGGGTCATAGTGGTGGTTACTGTGCCTCTGGAGGTGCTAGGGGCTGAGAGTGACTGGGACATAGTGGTGGTTGCTGTGCCTCCAGAGGCGCTAGGGTCTGAGGGTGATTGGGTGATAGAGGTGGTTGCTGGGCCTCCAGAGGTGCTAGGGTCTGAGGGTGACTGGGTCATAGTGGTGGTTGCTGTGCCTCCAGAGGTGCTAGAGTCTGAGGGTGACTGGGGCATAGAGGTGGTTACTGGGCCTCCGGAGGTGCTAGGGGCTGAGGGTGACTGGGGCATAGTGGTGGTTGCTGTGCCTCCAGAGGTGCTAGGGTCTGAGGGTGACTGGGTGATAGAGGTGGTTGCTGTGCCTCCAGAGGTGCTAGGGGCTGAGGGTGACTGGGTGATAGAGGTGGTTGCTGGGCCTCCAGAGGTGCTAGGGTCTGAGGGTGACTGGGGCATAGTGGTGGTTGCTGTGCCTCCAGAAGTGCTAGGGTCTGAGGGTGACTGGGTGATAGAGGTGGTTTCTGTGCCTCTGGAGGTTGCTGAGGTTGTGAGAGACTGAGTGGTGAGGGTAATTGCTGTACCTCCAATGTTGCTGGAGGTGGCGGGCTGGGTGGTGGGGATTGCTGGGCTGCCGGTGGGTGTTGCAGTGGACTGGCTGATGGCTGAAGTTATGGTGGGTCCAGAGGTGGTAGAGGCGGAAGCCTGGATGGTGGTGCTGGTTCCTGTGCCTCCGGAAGTGGTGGCTGTGGGGGACTGGGGGGTATTGGTGGCAGATGCAGTGGAGGGCATCGAAGACGGGCCGGGAGTTTGGCCTGACACTGATACTGATGGCAGAAGAAGTCCGAACAGGAGGAGGTGCAGGATGCCTGTGCAGCCTGGTATTATGGGACACATAACAGGAAAATTATTTGCAGTTATTTAACTAAGCTTGGCACTTTTTTAAAAACAACTTTGGTGATCCATAACTTTTCCACTAGTGCCATTGTCAGCTCAACTTTTCAATTTGTCCAGGACTTTGGTTGTACTTGGACCTGAGTGCAAATTAGCAAATGTTGCACACTAAAAAAAAGATGGTGAACATGGTTAAAGGTGCAGCATGTAATTCTGGAGAAAGACATTGATGTGTACCTCTGCAAACCAGTGTAGTCGTACTTACAGTTTACATCCATGTCTTGAAAACATGGATGCTTTGCACACATCTTCCCCCTGGTAGCACAGAAGATCTATATAATCAACTAAGTTTCAAGGTGGACACCCAAGTTTAATGTCACCAGTTCAGTATCTCACCAAATATCTTTCCTTTTGTTTGTTAGCTATGACGTTGAGTAATGGCCAGAAAAGTGTTTTTGCAGAACATTATGATGCCACAGTGAACTTGACCTTTGACATTTTGGATATAAAATGTCATCACTTCTTCATTTTATCCTATTAGACGTGTGTGAAGTTTTGTCATCATTTGCAATTGAATTCTTGAGTTATGGCCAAAAACATATTTTGTGAGGTCCCAGCAACCTTGACCTTTGACCACCAAATTCTAATCAGTTCATTCTCCACTCCACATGGACATCTGTGCATGTGAATTTGAGGAAATTCCTTTCAGATTTTCTTGAGATATTGCATTCACAAGAATGAGACAGGCACAAGGTCACTTTGACCTTTGACCACCCAATTCTAATCGGTTTATTGTTGAGTATAAGAGGCTGTTTGTGCCAAAGTTGAAAAAAATTTCCTCAAGGTGTTCTTGAAATATCGTGTAGCCATGAATGAGACAGATGAGGGCACAGTGACCTTGATCTGTGACCACCAATATATAATCAGTTCAACATTGAGGCCAAGTGGACATTCGCGCCAAATTTTCAAATTTGAAAAAAATTCCCTCAAGGCGTTCTTGAGTATCTTGTATCATGATCACAAGAATGGGACTGATGCACTATACATTCTCACTCCGACCATGTCACATTTTGACGTTTGGTCATGGACTTTCCACGTCCAGATACGATGTGCAACACCATGTCAAGTTCTGCCTGTTACATGCATTGTCTTGTTTCAAAATACACTTCTGTTTTCACAGGAAATTTACCATTTACATACAGTCTCTTTCCTTAATCAACTAATGCACATGGTTGGGTTTAGGCAACAAAAGCACTCAGGTTTAGGAAAAAAGAACAGGGTTTGGCTTTAGGGGATGGGAATACCGCTCTCCTGGGTGAAAGTGTTTGTTGGACCCATCCACCACCACACCAGCTCTTTTAGTCAGTGTCTGACGCCGGATTGAGACCGGGTTGGATGCCCATATGGACAGACGGACGTACATGAACATAATGCCTGTAAACATATTCCCCGCAAACATAATGTCTTCGGCCGTGGCTGTTGCTAGTGTGGAGGCATAAAACAACATTTTTCATTTTTGCTAAAACTGTCACTATATTCACACAGCAATAAAAGAGACAGATAACCTATAAAAATAAAAAAAAAAGCCTTATAGCGCTTCTAGTAGCCTTGCAGCATGTGAATGAAAACAACCAATCAGAGCCCAAGAGTCTTTAACACAGTTTTCAATCATGTCGATCACTGCTTGTGAACTACGATCAAACTGTTAAACTAGGCAGCTCTGATCAATCTAAATCATGGTTCTGGTACTGCATTGCCTATTTCTTGCCTCAAATGTTTTTAGAAACATATTTTAGTGTACTGTTTTGCTGTAAAATGAGAAAGCTGGTCCAGCTGGTGGGCAGGGTCACAAACTGTTTTTTTTCACAGATTAATTATCTCATGTCCTTTCAGAATATGAGGACAAATTCAACAACTATGACGCAAAGTTATTTTCATAAACATTACCAACTCTAGCCTTAAACCCAAAGCACAGTGTGCCACTGGAAGAAAATAATATAAAATATATAAATCCATGCATAAGAGGTCATGGCACCCACTCAAAGGTGAGAATGTAAGATGGAGCGTGTGTCCACTAGAGATGCCTAAACATGAATGTAAATAAAGAATTCTGCAAAGAAATAGATCAAGCAGACAGAAAGTACACCTACATTAGCACACATGTGAGTGTGGCCACACGTGCCTTGCTGGTGTAACTATGCCTACATGCATGTGTCATCATTTCATGAGAGAGCAACAGTATGACATCTTTGCTTTTGGGAGTGGCAGTGGAGTCCCAGAGTTTCAACGGTTCTAGCCAATACATAACGCAGCCTGCATGGCACACAATATACACTTAACAGTACAAATGAATATGCTTTGGATAGAAAACAATGACCAACAGGACAGGTGTTTATCCACTTGCAAAACAAATGATGAAAAATGAACGTGTGATATCGTCAGAAAAATATGTGCAAATTCAACAGTATGTCACAGTTTTTCCTCATTCAGTCAGTCTACTACTCACTTTCATTACATGTGCATTTTTCATTATTTTCCTCTAAATGAAAGCTACTGAAGAAGCAGGTTAAGTCATCTCCTTCCTTAGAAACCATTTGCAATCTTAAGTTTTGTCAGTGCCTTAGCAGCAGGGTTCCACTAATATTATTTTAAGATAGAAGTCTGGTACAGATTCTTCTGTGCTGAAGCTGCTGGCTGACAATATTCTGCACAATGTTCAATATCTTTAAATATGACCACAGTAAGTATTCATTGTTATTTCAGAGAGCTGTATTCTGATCAGGGTGGAAAAGCCTCAGAGGCAGTATTTTACATGAAGTACCTGCTCACTGTTTAAATTGCTCCTGAAACCTCTCAGCCTTCACAAGTGCATCAATATTAGCTGTGCAAAGTCTTCTAGTGGGCCGGATTGGACCCTTTGGCGGGCTGTATGTTTGACATACCTTATGTAGATAAAATAAACTGAATTGACTTTACAGGCAAGTTTGGCGTGAAGAACAGATTCTGCTAGTACCCCTGAATGTGAGCATGTACATAACTGCTAGCAGTGTTTTTAAATAAGCCAACACACACTCATACCTGTGTCTTTTATAAAAGTAGCGGAGGCCATTGTCACACTAGCAGAAAGGGAGAGCGCTCTTTGTCCAGCTTGTAATGAAGTGATATCTGTCAAAGTCCTGGTGGGGGAAAGAGTAAAACACACATTAACATGAAGGAAACATCTGATGGATGTTGTGCTATTTAAATACTCAAAGCAATAACAAACTTAATTTGGGTAGAAAACATTTTTATGGTGGATGATAATGGTGAAAAAACTTGAAGTGTTTATCCGTGCTAATAGGCTTCTGAAATACAGCCGTGCTCATTCATTGTGACCCACCTGGGAAGTTCCTTTGATCTGTGAGGGCTTAGTTCTCCTCTGTTTACAATCCTCTAATTGTTCCAGTGAAACTAATCTCATAATTGTTTGGTTGAATCACAATAGTGAGAAATTGATAAATGTGAGATTTAAAGCTGCCCTTTAATTTCTTTTATATTGTTACACACAGTTTCTTACATCATCGGTACAAAAGCTTCAATCAGAACATTTTAAGTTTGAGCATTAATAAGGAACTTTCCTGGCTGGTCACCTGCGCATAAGGTCAGATTTGCTAAGATTAGTTTTGTGCGATGACACACACTTATATCCTGCACGTCTCTGTTTGCAGAGGTTTATTGGTGAACACAATTAAAATGTGTTTGTTCCTCGATTGGTCCCTCTGGGAGAACTGCTAAGCGGTACGGCTTGTTTTTTCCCCTCTCCCCTGGAACCCAGCATGACCTCCTCAGGGCTCTACACCCTGGAAACTGAGTGACAACAGTGGCCATTTTGGCTTCTAGTTGAAAATACAAAGTTTAATTGTGTAAAAAAAAAAAGTGAAGATCAGATTTCTTAGAGGATATTTAGTTTGCTGTACAGGAGGTGTGTTCAGGTACTAAATTCTGATGCTGTAAATTACACTTTTTTCATCAGGTTGTATTGGTGAATTAAGTGTTAGATTTAATTACAGGACTAATTAAATAAAAGCAGGCACATTCAACAGTATCACCTACTGTGAATATTTCCATCTATTCTATCAATATTAGCAATGGTGTCTGTGTGTTTCTAGAAAGGAGGGGGAAACCCTGACTGTGTTTTGTGATATTGTAATCAGCCAAAATAGGATAATAATTTGAAGGATATGACTGTTGTTTAGACAGAAATACAACACATCTAGGAGTCATCTGCATAGAAAAAAAAACAGAAATGATATCTGACAAAATAGAGGAAATTCTTGGACTCACTCAAACTGACTAATCTGCATTTTAAATCAAATTCACTCATATTTATCCAAATAATTGTTGGTGACTTACTACTACTTACTACTCATAATACATCTTAATAAAGCATATGTAGAATAACATTTGCAACAGAAACGTCCAAACACAACAGACACCACAACATTCCCCCGCTGTATCACTGGCTACAATAGCACCACTGTTGTTGACCTGCATCACCCCTGTGATTTTCTGTGCTCCATTTCCCTTAAAATCCCTCCATTTAAATCATGCTCTCACAATTCATCATTTAAAATCAGTAATGTTTCTATTAAAGTCCACTCACCTGCAGTGCACTTTGGAGGGCTTGTTTTTGTCAGCTGTGGTTGAAGTGAATGAGCTCTCTCTCTCTCTCTCTGGTGTTCCCTTTCTCTGTTGCTCTCTGTCGCCTCCCCCCCTTTTGCTTCCTGTCGACAGCACTGAAGTGGCAACGTAATAAGTGGAAACTCTCACTTGCACGGCTATACCGCTGTGAGAGGAGGAGACTAAAAGGCCTGCGGTTGCTGGGTGGGTCTAAAGATGCCCCAAGAACTGATGTAATGATTCCTAGATAAGGCTCATTTGGATATTATTTCATTGTTCCATTGTGACTGGTTATGAGTTCTGATGTTGACCTGGAATCTTGTCAACAAAAGAGGCATCAAACTAAATGCTTAATTTTAACTAATTCAGTGAAATTGTAATCAAGTATTTTTTTTTAAATCTAACATATAATAGAACTGTGCTACATTGTATGCAGATAGGTAAAAAAAAAACTTTAAATGCTGTTTCCACTTTCAGCTATCAAAATATCTTTAAACACCACTTTACAATGTGTCAATTCAACATAAAGGAAGATATTACATTACAATACATCACATTGTATATTGATGAATGTTAAACTACACACCCAGCATTTAACGATTTACTCAGATAACTCAGTGGATTAAACCTCTGCGAGTCTATAAGAGTACAGGTGAGATTTCAGTGCCCTGTGGGGTGATTGTATAGGGAACCTCCTGGTTTCTGTTCAACACAATGTGAAATCAGACCCCCTCTCTCTCTGCCAGCCATAAAGCCCCCACAGACTACAATTACCTCTTTGTGGCCCTAAAGAACGTAGAATTCTTGGGCACGACACAAAAGGCACTTGCACAATTCAGGTGACAGAAGTCCTTCCTTTTTTTTCATTGCAGTTTCAAGGAACACATGAAATGTTGTCTGCTGTCTTTGGCCTTTTTAAAGTATTGTTACTGAAGATACACTAGAGTTTTAGGGAAAAGTTTGTAGGTGGTAAGAGGTAAGGACCGTGTATCTGAAAGACTAGGTCTGCATCATGTGGGCATCATTGCTGCAGGTGTAAAAATCTACAGCAGGTGTAAAAATGTCTGCTGTGATTTTCATTAAGGGTACATTTGGATCTTTCTAGTGGGTCTTAAAACAACACTGACATAACAATATGAGCATTACAGAGTTATCAATGGCTGTAGTTGTTCCCCTTGAAGAGGTTCCTTCATGATGTCCTTTGGGAACAGAATCCAAAGTCTGAGATACAGTGTTTTATTGTCCTCAGGAAGATAATAACCCGGAAAATTGCAAATTGGTTAAAGATATATTTTCTTTTCGCATCACCAGAAAATGTAGGAATGTTTAGCATGTGTTTTCCCTTACAATCTTCAACACTGTTCTTGGGTATGAAGTTTTTCATTTGACCAATAACTCTTTCAATGTGCATATATACAGGTCACTATTGTTTTAAAGGGACAGTACACACCAAAATAAAAAATACGTATTTTTTCTCTCTTACCTGTAGTGCTATTCATTAATCTAGATTGTTTTGGTCAGAGTTGTCCAGTGTTGGAGATATCGGCCGTAGAGATGTCTGCCTTCTCTCAAATGTAATGGAACTAAATGGCACCCGGCTTGTTGTGCTCAAAACACCAAAAAAAACAGGGCCACATTTAAACAAACTAAACAAAAATATCTTGTTCCAGAAATCATGACCCGGTTACTCGAGATAATCCACAGACCTTGGGCCCTATTTAGATGGTCTAAAACGCGAAGCGCCAGGTGTGCGGCGCATGGGCGTGTCCCAGTCACTTGCTAGTTAGACAGTGCGTTTTTAGACTGTGCGCCATGGTGGAGAGTCTAAAAGGGTTGGACTTACTCTGTGAATTAGTCATGGGTGTGTTTTGGGCGTATCATTCAATAAGCCAATCAGAGTGTCACCTCTCATTCCCTTTAAAAGAGGCGTGATTGGAGCGCATGGCGGAGAGCTAGTTAGATGGCGGACCTACCAACTGGAAAGAGTGAGCGTTTTACAGCTGAGGAGATGGATCTCCTCGTGTGGGAGATGAAGGCCTGTCAGAACCAGATCTACGGGGACAGCAGACAGGCACCCAAGCTCCCCGAGGTAAAGCAGGCGTGGGATCACTAATACAAGAAAGATCTTACTAAATATCTGTGGAATATTATTCAAACCTGTTTTCATCATATAACAGAGCACAGCTGTCAGGACTGCCGCAGAGCTCCCCAAGGTGCTGATCCTGCAGCTAGGACCTGTTCAGCTTTTTCTCCCCCACCCATGTTTGTTAATTGTTTTCACATGTTTCCTAGAGCTGTGTTCTGCCTCTTATTTGCATGTGCGTCCTCTCTACACTCAGATAACAATATAATAATATAATATAATATAATATAATGTAGCCTAGTATTTAATGTAGCCTAGTATAACATGTTAAAATAAATGCAATGTGTGGGCTTTGGTTTTCAATCAAAAAAATGATTGATTGGTCTGATAATTTCACAATTTCATTTGTCATTATTACAGATTATGATGATCATTATTACTGCGATTAGATCATTCTTTTTAATGACTGACCATTAAGACGTGTTTCTCATAAATATTTTAATGTGCACAATAATAACCTTTCACATTGTAATCATATTTTTATTTGTTATCTTTTGCATATGTGTGGCTGCTCCGTGTATGTCTGAGCAGAGTACACGCGCATTGTGCACCCGCCTAGAGACGCATATTACTAACTTGTTTAACAGCGAAATACTGCGCCGTTGACTTCAGACCAGGTTTTTGTTGGTCACTGGCGCATTTGCTTTTCATCTAACTAGCAATGCGCCATGACTGCGCCTGACCACTCCTCATTTTTAGACCAACACACCCAGAGAAGCGCAAGTTCATTTGCTAGTTAGACGACGAGGGCGCAGGGCGTGGAAATGACAACTGCACCTGCATCTAAATAGCAATGACAGTTGCGACATGGATTATGTGCCCTCCGCCGTCCGCTTTAGACCATCTAAAGAGGGTCCCTTGTTGTGAGCAGTTTCATGTAGGAACTGTTTTATTTCTATTGAATTAAACATGCCAACCATATCACAGCACAGCAGGAAGTGTGCATCTGCTGTTAGCTCACCTATAGTGTGTCTCAAATCACATACTTCCATTAGTACACTTCCATGTAGTAGGCTATACTATGTGCACTATGTACTCATTGGCGTAGTACGCGAATTTCGACAGGGTAATGTTGTCTTAAACCAAACACGACCGTTATGCACTTAATGGACATGACGACCGCAAATTAGCTAGTTAGCAAACTAGCATTAGCATTCACGTTATCGTTCGCGGTACCAAATCATTACAGACTGCTAAATTAACCCAATAAACATATTGCTGGCTTATACCCGATAACAGTATAGTGGTGCTTAGTGCAAAAAACACATGTATAACTTTTGTTAACATTTGTACAATGCAGCGACGTTGATGGTTCCACAGTCCTTGGCTGCCATTTCCAGCTTCAAAAGTGGTCCCTCCCCTTCTGCTACGTTGCCAAGATGACGACCATTGAGGGTGAGAGGTGTCCATAGTTCCACACTCCACGTTTTGAGTGCAACATCCGGGTACTCATAGTGCACAGCATTTTTTCCATACTTCTCACTGTGAACGCACTTATGCACTCAAAATATTAAGTGTAAGTACAGAAGTACGCGATTTGAGACAGAACTGGTCTGAGCTAGCTAATGTTACAGCTCAGCTGAGGAGGATGCCATTAATGTTGACAACTTGCTATTCACTAGATATTAATGGCGTCCTCCTTGGCTGAGCTGTAATGTTAGCTAGCTCAGTGGTGCTAGATGAGCTAGCAGTAGATCTATACTTCATCTTAAGCAGTGACACAGTTAGCAGGTGTATTTCAAGGTACAAAGAAAATAGTTCCTACATGAAACTGCTCACAACAAGGTCTGTGGATTATCTTGAGTAACCAGGTCATGAATTCTGGAGAAAGACATTATTGTTGAGATTTTCCAAATGGGTTTTTGTTGGCACTCTGAGCACCACGAGCCGAGTGCCATCTAGTTCCATTATATTTGAGTAAAGGCAGACACCTCTATAGCAGATATCACCAACACTCTGCAACTCACATACAACACAATCTTTTTTTTGGTGTGAACTGTCTCTTTAAGACAGATTTTCAAAAATGTGAACCTATTCATGCAAGATATATGCACATCCATACTTACTGTATATCCTCACATATGCCTACAAATGCCAGTCCATACATGCAGTTGTTTTTTCAATAATCAACAGGGTATTTTCTTTAGGGCTGCTATGGTAGAAAGGACAAATCTGCCCAATTGGGCCCTCATGTCATGGATGTTAGAACTACTATACCTTGCACTCTGGTGGGGAGTGCCCAGTGTCTTTGTTTATGCCAAATAAGGTACACATGACTTGTCGTAGTAGTTGCATGTAAATATCTTCATCATTTTCATAACTAAGACAATGTCCTTCACAAAGACATTGTCTCGTAGCTGGCATGACGCTAAGCAGTCAAATGAGGAAGTGTTAGCAGATAATCGAGTCTGATGCTGGGAATGTAGTACTCCTGATTAGTTGTTTGTTTACACATGTGAACGTGTGTGTGGCCAATCCAGTCGCCAGAAAAAAATGTTGGCAATGTACTTTTCTGCAAACCACAGATATGTTATTTCCATTCATTCATTTTCTGTAGCCGCTTATCCTGTTTGGGGTTTTGGGGGGGCTGGAGACTATCCCAGCTGACATTGGGCGAGAGGCAGGCTACACCCTGGACAGGTTGCCAGACTATCACAGGGCTGACACACATTCACACCTACGGCATTTTAGAGTCATCATTTAACCTGCATGTCTTTGGACTGTGGGAGGAAGCCGGAGTACACGGAGAAAACCCACACTGACATGGGAAGAGCATGCAGACTCCGCACAGAAGGGCTCCCCCACCCCGGGGGAACAGGAATGCTCTTGCTGTGGGGCAACATTGCTAACCATGGCACCACCGTGTCGCCCTGGATAGGTTACATTTGTACGTTATTAAGTAGCGGATGCATTGAAACTTTACATTTTGTTTCATTACGTTTCGGCCTAAAATACCCG